GGGTGAAGTGATCTATATATGTCTATTAAGTCCAATTGTTTTAGTTTTTCATTTAGCTCCACTATTTCCTTGTTGATTTTCTGTCTGGATGATCTGTCCATTGATGTGAGTGGGGTGTTGAGGTCCCCTACTATTATTGTGTTGTTTTTAACATCTTCCTTTAGGTCTGTTAATAGTTGCTTTATGAATCTTGGTGCTCCTGTGTTGGGTGCATAGATATTTATAAGCGTTATTTCTTCTTGATGAAGTGTCCCTTTGATCATTATATATTGTCCCTCTGTGTCTCTCTTTACCTGTCTTATTTTGAAATCAACTTGGTCTGATATAAGAATTGCAACACCTGCCTTTTTTTTCCTTGCTATTTGCTTGAAGTATTGTCCTCCACCCCTTCACCCTGAGTCTGTGTTTGTCCTTGGGGCTGAGGTGTGTTTCCTGGAGGCAACAAATTGTTGGATCTTGTTCTTTAATCCATTTTGCCACTCTGTGTCTTTTTATTGGAGAGTTCAATCCGTTTACATTGAGGGTGAGTATTGATGCATGAGGGCTTAATGCTGTCATTCCGTCACTCGTTTTCTGGTTGTCCTGCGTTTCCTTTGTTTCTCGTCCTGTGTGTTTTAGCCTACCCATTGACTTCTGCAATTTCTTATGCTGGGTTTCTTAGATTTTTCTTATTTATGATTTGTGACTCTGTTCTCTACTTTATTTATGATGGTGAGATTATGTAATCAATTCTTTCCAAGTAGGCATTTGTTAGTAATTTTGGTGCCAAAATCTGTGAATTAAAAGTCAGATTGCCACATCACAGAGCAAACAAATATAGTGAAATTATGTTCTTCCCTAAACTTAATTCTTTACATTTTTGTCATCAAATATATTTGGAAAAGAACATACAAAATGTTTTCTTGGAAGACTTAGTAAAAATAACAGTGTAAATATCTTTGTAATCATCATGGTTTGTAAGTGGGCCTTGGGCAGTGGTGAGTCTCCTGATGTCCCTGTTCCTGACTCATCTCCAGCCTGCCTCCTAGGGGATCTCCGTCTTGACTTTAGTTATTCGTCATGCCTTTACCAGCTATTCTTTTCACTAAGCAGTGTTCTTTTAATTCTGCCTTCTTTGACCTTTCAATAAGTGAGTGTTAATGAAATTGCATTCGGAAGGTTTTTTGGTTGGTTCTTTGCAACAGTGTGTTCCACACATGCTAGTATCTGAGGCCAGGGACCGTGCAACGTACTCAGCTGTTCAGTGGTTAGGGTGTTTGGGCTTTTTCAAGTTTAATTTTTACTCTTGTTACAAATAACAGCTCCTGGGCCTGACCCGGTGGCCGAGTGATTAAGTTTGCACTCTGTTTCGGAGGCCCAGGCTTTCGTAGGTTCAGATCCTGGGCATGGACGTGGCACCACTCATTAGGCCATGCTGAGGCAGCATCCCACGTGCCCGTGCCACAACTAGAAGAACCCACAACTAAAATATACAACTATGTACTGGGGGATTTGGGGAGAAAAAGCAGGGGGAAAAAAAAAGATTGGCAATAGTTGTTAGCTCAGGGCTAATCTTTAAAAAAAATACACAACTATGTACCGGGGGGCTTTGGGAGAAAAAGGAAAAATATAATCTTTAAAAATAAATAAAATTTAAAAATATAAGTAAAAATACAGCTCCTATCATTCCTGTATCACTCTCTCAGTTCAAATACACAATAAGTTCTCTGGATGTTGGAGGAAAATTGTTAAGCTGTAGATCGAGATCAAGTTGAAATTTACAGGAAATGGTAATGGAATGTATCATTTTGACGCTTCCTCCATTCGTGCCTAATTTATGCATTTGTTGACTACGGTTATCAACACTTGGGATTGTTAAATTGATTTTTGTCCTAATCAGTGTGAAATGTAATCTGCTTGACATTTTGCTTATTTCCTTATTACCAAGAAGGTGGACATTTTTCATATGTGGTCTTTCATCTCCTGTAAAATATGTTTTGGTTCTTCTGCCATTTGTTAGCTGTGTGTGTAGTCTTAGTCTGCACACTAGCCCTTTAATATTGCAGATATTTTTCTTCCACCTTGTTATTTGTCTTTATATATAAATATATACATAGTTTCAATATGTGTGAATTGGTCAGTCTCTTGCTTTAGGGCTTGCTCTTTTTTTACATGAGAAAATTCTCCCTGTTTTTGGATGAATGAAGCATTTACCTGTGACTTCTAAAAGTGTCCTAGTTTCACCTTTCACATTTAAATCTACAATGAATTGGCTATTGTCCATGGAATAGATGTGAATACGATGCATTTTTCCACTTAGGTAAGTTTGTCCCTGCCCTGCATTGAGGTATTCATGACATTTGCTCTGACCTTGACCAACTTTCCACATTAGTTACCGGCACATGGAAGACGCTTTTCCTTTCTGTTGGTCTGTTTGTTTTCCTCTCTGCTAATACTGTGCTGTCTGGAATACTATAGTTTGAAGATCTTGATTATATTAGGCAAGCCGCCACTTTGTTCTTCAGAAGACTTTGACCATTTTTTGATATTTGTTCCTCCTATTAGATTTGGAGGAGTAGTTTGTTTTGTTTTTCCCTTCTTCTCCCCAAAGCCCCCCCAGTACATAGTTGTGTATTCTAGTTGTAGGTCCTTCTGGTCGTGCTGTGTGGGATGCCACCTCAGCATGGCCTGATGAGCGGTGACATGTCTGTGCCCAGGAGCTGAACCAGCAAAACCCTAGGCGGCCGAAGCAGAGCGCGAACTTAACTGCTCAGTCTCAGTGTGGCCCCTGGAGGAACAGTTTTTGTTGACTCCTAAACAGCTCATTTGGGGGATTGATAGGATTTTATGAAGATATATTTTGGGAGAGGTAACATCATGGTGACATGGAGTTCTTTCTAAGAACATGTGCCATATTTTCACTTATTTTATTCTCCTTTGATGTTATCCAATAAAAATTTTAAAATTTTTCCATTAGGTTGATCAAATAATTACTCATTAGTCTTGTTTAGTGCCTAATTAAATTTCTTCTGGAGGAAACCACAAGCAGGCTTCCAGACGTCCTCTCCTAGTGTGCTAACATAGGATGGGCTCAGTCCCTCTAAGCTACAAGTGGTGAAAACACACGTGAAATATTGTCTTCCAGGGAAGCTTGTAAGAGACTCAGTGCCCGGAGTGGTTGGGGGCACAGATCATACAGGCACCCTCTGCCAAGCATGACCAAAGTTTAGATTCTCAAAATAAAAACAAGAAAACATGTGTACCATTTTGTTTGTGTAAACAGTTTAGGCACACTGAGTCACTCTTTATCAGTTAGGTTGGTCGGGTCCCTCATAAATCCCCTTCCCAAATACCAACGAAGGACAAACATTGTGAGCAGGCATTCCTAAGGATCAGCAGTCTCAGGCCTGCTTGTGTTCACTCTCTTCTGCACGGTAGGTAGTAGGACATTGTTATTAGCAAGCGCTACAGATCCACTGTAGAAAGAGTAATTAGAGCCACGCCAAGCAGCTCACTGTACTCTATGGGCCCGCCAAGAAGTCAGGATTTCCTGTTTCGTTCATTAACCAAATGAGTCAACTCCACCATTGGAATTACTTTGTGGAAGCCTTTTCTCTATCCCCTACATGTGGACATCAGTGGGTTAATTATCTTTTTCAGAGTCTAGCATGTAGGGGAATTAGGTGGCTGAGGGATTCCTATGCCCAGAGGTTGGGCTGTCGTGTCCCTGTGCACCACACAAGGGCACAGAAATGAGAGAAGTGGGAGTTGGCCACTAGAGTGGCTGGTTGAGAAGCACTGCCTCCTGAAATTGGAGAAGGAAAGTTTTATGTTCTTTTAGAGGAAACTGCTGCTGAACCCTTTATGTGTTTCATGTGATGGGAACCTTCACCATCAAACCATTGTGGCCTTCAGTGAACTCACTTGCAAACTGCAACTCTTATCTGGTTCCTCAAGGTCAGCAAGGCCCAGGGTCCACCGTTAACAGTTTTGCTGGAAGCTCTGTGGCTTTTTATCATCTCAGTATATGTGTGCATATATGCTAAACATCAGTGAGAAGCAGCTCTGATGCCCATGGGTATAGAGACTTTTGTGGAGGTCTGAGTTGTCATGCCTTTTTTCCCATGCCTGAACTCTTTTTTATGGTAATCTAATTTTTATTTACTTATAAATCATTAGTTATTTCTTCTTTCTTTCTTGAGATGACATTATGTAAATTTTAGATATACATCATATTTCAGCTTTTATATAGACTACATCTTGTTCACCACCAAAAGTCTAATTGCCATCCATCACCATACAGATTTGCCCCCTTACCCCTTTCAGCCTCCCTCATCCCCCTTTCTAACTTCTGAATAGCTTCCTGGCCTTATGAAATGGGACAGAGATAAAAAGGAATAACTGAATCTGTGACATATATTTTTATGGACAAGTTAAAATTAATAGTTCTCCACAAGAATATTTTCATTCAGCCAACTGCATGACTACTTCTGATGGAGTACTTCAGGGTAATGTGGCCAGCTGGTCCTAGTTATAAGTTGGATTTCCACAGGCCTCCTGGCGTCTCATGTTTGGTGATGGGAATAGAAGAGAAAGCTTCCAGTTCTTCACTGTGTTTTGTTCATTAGCACTTCATGCATTGTAGAGTGCTGTGCTGCATGGTATGGTGGGTAATAAGGAAGGAGGTGGAAGAGTTTTTCTCACAAGGAATTGATGGTCTTAAAATGGAAATATTTTTTTCATTTCTATAGCAATTCTCTCATTCCTCCCACTTGCTCTGGACCCTACCATTACAGAATAAGATTTGAAGTGATCATAGTAAAAATGTAATTTCCACATGTTCATGCTGCTATTAAATTTATGAGTAAATGATTATATAGAGTAAGAACTCTGGTGACCAAATCATAGAATACGTATTTTGAGATCACAGAATGATATGTGAACTTCTTATGAATTGTCTGTAGAGTCCCAGTACTGTCAGTCTCACCCATCTTCCTGTGTACGGATGTGGTATGTTTTAGGACTCAGTGGTCTTTGAGGATGTGGCTGTGAACTTCACCCTGGAGGAGTGGGCTTTACTGGATCCTTCACAGAAGAAGCTCTACAGAGATGTGATGCGGGAAACCTTAAAGAACCTGGCCTCAGTAGGTGAGGACGAAAACTTCCCTTCACTTAGCAAATGTTTCTTGCCTGTCAGCATTATTCTGTGATTTGGAATGAGAAAAGGCAACACTTTGGTAAATAAATCAGGCATGGTCAGAGCTCCTTATGGAACTGTAATATAATTCTTCTGTAATTTACTGATTTTTCTGCGTCTGCATTTTAGGGAAAAAATGGGAAGACTGTAATTTGGAAGATCAGTATAAAAACCAGGGAAGAACACTGAGGTGAGTTGCATGCAAAATGGAAAGCAGTGTCACACAAGGGGATCTTCACATGTCATGAAAATTTGAAAACAAGCATGCACAAAACAGCCCAGCATGAAATTTATTCATTTTTAGAAAATTTTTACCAAAAACATTTTTTGTGGTTTTTTGGCTTTTTTTTTTTTTTGGCGGGGAAAGATTCACCCTGAGCTAACATCTGTTGCCAGTCTTCCTCTTTCCTTTTTTTTGCCCCCTTCCCCAAGCCCCAGTGTATAGTTTTATGTCATAGTTGTAAGTCCTTCTAGTTCTTCAATGTGGTATGCTTCCATGACTGGGAAACAAACCCAGGCCACCAAAGTGGTGAGAGCGCCAAACTTTAACCACTAGGCCATCAGGGCTGGCTCAGATATTTCCTAATTGTAACTGATGTTCAATGTTTCCAAACTAGTTCACTTGGAAACAGTATCAGAAACTCCATGTATAGAATATCACTGTTTTGATAAAACCTTGCAGCACAGGCAGTATATTCACTTTCAAACAATTCAGACAGGGCAGAAAACCTACACTTTCTCTAGAAATGCTAAAAATAGAATTCTGATATGTGCTAATAAATATAAAATCATTAATAAGGTACTCCTGATTTTTTTTTTTTACAGGAGTCGTATGGTAAGGAGACCCTGCGAAAGTAAAGAGGGTAGTCAATGTGGAGAAAACATAAGCCATATTTCGAATCTCAATCTAAACAAGAAAACGTCTACCAAAGTAAAAACATGGGAGTGCAGTGCTTGTGGGAAAGTCTTCATGAGTCACTCATCCCTTAAGAGGCACATGAGATGTCACACTGCGCCCAAACCATACAAGTATCAGGAATATGGAAAGAAGCCGTATAAATGTAAGCAGTGTGGGAAAGCCTTCAGTTATCTCCAGCCTTATCAAAAACACGAAAGAAATCACAGTGTGGAGAAAACCTATAAATGTAAGGAATGTGGGAAATCCTTTAGATATCGCCAGTCTGTTCGCAAACATGAGCGGACTCACACTGGAGAGAAACCCTATCAGTGTAAACAATGTGGAAAAGCCTTTAGATATCATCAAACCTTTCAAACACATGAGAGGACTCACACAGGAGAGAAACCCTATGAATGTAAACAGTGCGGTAAAGCCCTCAGTTGTCCCAGTTCCTTTCGAAGTCATGAAAGGACTCACACTGGAGAAAAACCTTATGAATGTAAAAAGTGTAGTAAAGCCTTCAGTTGTCCCAGTTCTCTTCGAAAACATGAAAGAACTCATACTGGAGAGAAACCCTATGACTGCAAGGAATGTGGGAAAGCCTTCATTTCTCTTGGAAGCTTTCAGAGACACATGATAACACATACTGGAGTTGGACCATATAAATGTAAGGAATGTGGGAAAGCGTTCAATTGTCCAAGTTCATATAGAATACATGAAAGGTCTCACACTGGAGAAAAACCCTATGAATGCAAACAGTGTGGGAGAGCCTTCAGTTGTTCCAGTTCCTTTCGAACACATGAAAGAACTCACACTGGAGAGAAACCCTATCAATGTAAGGAATGTGGAAAAGCGTTCCACTGGCTCACCACTTTTCAAGTCCATGTGAGAACTCACACTGGAGAGAAACCCTATATATGTAAGCAATGTGGTAAAGCCCTCAGTTGTCCCACTTCCTTTCGAAGACATGAAAGAACTCACAGTGCAGAGAAACCCTATGAATGTAAACAATGTGGGAAAACCTTCAGTTCTGCTCTAGGCTTGCAGATACATGAAAGAACTCACACTGGAGAGAAACCCTATAAATGTGAGGAATGTGGGAAAGCATTCGTTTCTCTCACAAGCTTTCGAAGACACATGATGACACACACGGGAGATGGACCTTATAAATGTAAGGAATGTGGTAAGGCCTTCAATTGTCCCAGTTCATTTCGAATACACGAAAGGACTCACACTGGAGAGAAACCTTATGAATGTAAAATATGTGGTAAAGCCTTCAGTTGTTCCAGTTATGTTCAAGTACATGAAAGAACTCACACTGGAGAGAAACCCTATGAATGTAAGGAATGTGGAAAAGCCTTCATTTATCGCACAACCTTTAGAGGACACATGAGAGTGCACACTGGAGAGAAACCGTATAAGTGTAAAGACTGTGGGAAAGCCTTCAGTCGACCAAGTTCATTTAGAAGCCATGAAAGAATTCACACTGGAGAGAAGCTTCTTGAATGTAAGCATTGTGGGAAAGCTTTCAATTGGCCCACATCCTTACATAAACATGTCATGAGAATGCACACTGGATAGATAAATTATAACTGATAAATACAGGAAAGTTTTCAATCTTAACAAATATATTCAAAATCATGTGAAAACTCCACTGGAGAGAAATGCTATAAGATGTAAGTAATATGGAAAAGCCTGATGCAAATTAATTTGCATATAATACTCCAGAGAATTCACAACATAAAAGAAATGTTTTTAAAGTTAAAAATATATTTATCAGTGGCTCATTCTGAAACTCAGTCCCTGGACTGTGGATTCTACTTGTTACTTTTGCAGATGAACATTGAGTTGAGACAATTCTGTAAGTATTCTTTAAGCAATAGTATATAAGCTTAGTAGATAGTGTTTTTCCTTAAATCAGCTCATAAAATTTTTGTCTTTCTGTTCTGAAGTCTGTTGGATCCATGGGTGAACTGAAATACAATTGTAATATGCCAATAGAGTTAATGTTTATATAATTTTTAAATTGTTCTGCAAGTTAAGGGCCACAGAATCAAATGACAGTTTGGTATTTGTTGGGATTTTCCTATTGGCCTCATCTTGCAGATACTGGATACTCCTTACCCATTATAAATATTCTTCCTTTCTTATGGGAAAAACTTTTTGTTGGAAGAGCTTTCTTCCATTTTCCTTGATTGATAAATAGTTGGCATAAATTTCTAAGTGTGCAAAGTTTTCATAGAGCATAATCTCACTTGAATTACTATTTACATCATTTTCCCTCCACTCTTCGTCATTTTTCTGACTGTGATTTGGATAATAGACTTTACATTAAGAAAAGAGATCTTTATTGACATCAACTTCAAACTTAGGAAGCAACCCTAAAATGTTTATAAGGCTAATTACTTTAGATTTAAATTCATAGCTACAGTATCTTTGCACCAAAGCAACACTTTTTTACCCATCAGTGCATTAAAATCCTGCTACATTACTCTGATGTCACCATTTAGAGTATCTTTTTCCCATAATACAATTAGAGTGATTATGTGATAGCCCTAAAGTCAACTGTGCTATTATTGTCCCTCCAATAACATTCAGCTCTTGCTCTGTGACTGTCCCGGACACCAGAAATACAACAGCGAACATGAGCGATGTGGTCACTGCTCTCAGTGCTTCAAGTGTGTGAGATGAAATAGAATTGTCACTTTTCTAGTTGCCTTCCTAAGTGTTTACATTTAAACTGTCATTCATTTTTGTATTGACATATGTGATAGACCAATAAGCCTTTATATTTGCCAAGAAAGAAAATAAACATGTAATGAGACATTAAAATGTAGAATTGGAGAGGTCTCTCCTGGAATGTTGTGTCAACATGGTGATGTGACCCACATTTTCTAGAGCCTGTTCTTTATCTGGCTCACTGTTAGAATTCACTGGTAGCTTCACTTGTGTGACTTTTGAAAGGCAGTGAAGGCCTTAGTCTTTGAACCACAGTGCAGAGACAGATGCACAGGAGTTTCACACACCTTCTTTCAGCCCATTTTCCAGATTCTTTGCCCTGCCAATCAAGGGTGTCCTCATACCACCACCAACTATGTGACTTGTTTTCTCAGAGCTGTAGGTTTCTACAGACAGCTGCACAAGATCCACAGCAAGATCTGACACAGGTTGGATTTTCCTGCAAGCCCTCATGTGTCCACCAGGCAACAAATGTAGACTGTGGTGGTTGAGAATGTTCTCTGGAACTGTATGCCCCTTTCTCTAGACTGTATTTGTATAAGGTCTGATTTGTATAGTAAACATCTCGTTCTGTTAATCCTGTAGTGACTGTGTATTCTTGGCTCCGCCCAGACAGCTGCAGTGGTGCCGTCAGAGGAGCCACATGGGCGTCTGTTCTCCGCTGCCCTGTGCAGCGACTGCTCTGACCCAGTCCCTCCATGTGAGAATTAGCACCTTTCTCCTATCGGGCAGATTGTGGGTGTTTCCGATTACTCAGAGCCAAACATGATTCCTCAGCACATTTTTAGTTGTTTGATTGTATGTGATGTAAAAAACAATGTTCGATTTTTTGTCAAACGAATGCTTCTGTAGGTGTATACTTAGAAATGTTTTATTGATTGTTCTGGACAACTTGTATACTAACAAATACTATCTTTCCCACTTCCCAATAGGGTAAATTAAAACATCCCTTGCAATTGTAGATATTTAGGTCAACTTTGTGATTTTTGTCGTTAATCATTATACATTTTGAATCAGTATTACCATGTGGTATTTTTTCCTCAGGCAAGTTTTATTTTTTATTCTATGGTTTAATTTTTATTGAAACTAATTTCCATTTGTTCTTAATTAAAAACTTAAATCATTGTTTTGTTAGTGCCTTCTTGCCAAAAACCAGGATCACACTCATATTCAAAGAGAGGGGTGTAATGAATCATTGTAATAAAGATGATCACAAACTATAAATGATAATGGGCTGGATCAGTGAGAGGGTACCCAGCAGGTCTTCCTACATAATTTATTTTAGGCTTATGTTAGGTGCTGAGGCTGGGATCCAAGGAAGCAGAATGTCTCTATGTATTGTATACTGTGAAGAGGTGAACTTAATTCTATCTTTGGTAATGTAATAGTTCTTATCTAAACACCGAAATATTTTCTGTTGTATATGGGGACACTGTTTTCTGTAAAGTACCTCAGTTAAAATATATAAAGTCACTTGCTCCTTAGCAAATTTTGTAATACTTTTTTTTTTTTTCTCTCCCCAGAGCCCTGGTACATAGCTGCATATCCTAGTTGTAGGTCATTCTAGTTCTGTGCGGGATGCTGCGTCAGCGTGGCTTGATGAGTGGTGTAGGTCCGCACCCAGGATCCAAACCGGTAGCCCAGGGTTTCGCTGAAGCAGATGCAAGAACTTGGCCATGGGGCCAGCCTAAAACTATGCTCTTGATGCTAATTTTTCCACATTCCTCTTCTACCAGGCACTGTGCCCTCAAAATATACAAATTTTAGCACAAATAATCAAGGCATTATACACTCTGTAGAGGCATGAAACAAGTTCTTGCAGTCCTGATGCTTATATTTTTGTGGGAAGAGAGAAATGATTATAAACGGCACAAGTTCAGTTTATAAGATAGAAAATAGGGCTTTAAAGGGAAGTAAACAATGACATAAGGTAATAGGCTGGAAGTGTGTGTGTGTGTTTTCTCTGTGGAGGGTTGGGGCCTCAGTGAGTGAGGTGTCGTCATTGATCATTTTCATTTTCACCGTCTAATACATCTTAAACACTGTTGGAGGAACTGCTCAGGCGCAGATGTAAACACTGGGGAGCAATACAGACAGTCCCACATTCCTGGAATTAATGGTGATAGTTCCCCTTAAAGATAAAGGCATAGACGTGGTTGATCTTAATTTTTGCCATGATTAAATGGTTTACTGCATGTGGTAGTAATGCACAAGTTTGGACATGGGTTTTCTGAGACTTGAGAGTTTCCGTTTTCACTGTTTCTGGTGTGTATGTTCACATTTAACATTTGAAAAGACTTTAAATTGCCTTTTGTATTTTCATTATGATTTTGCTGGTACATGTTCTGAGTGACATGATATGTACCCCATGAAACCGTGGAGTTCTTTCACGTTTGAGGAAGGGTGCTGATCATCTGCACATTTGTAGCCCATCATGGGTTTCCTGTGAGGAGAGTGATATCTGTGCAAGATCAGTGTGATTTCCTGGATGAAACACCAAAAAGAGCTATGGATGTTTAGAGGATAATGATCCAAGGAATAATTGAAGTGAGCTATAGACAGACGCATAGTATCATTTCGAGTAATATCCTCATTTTCAGTGGAAAAGAAAGTATGTTTGACTTCCTCAAAATAGGAAGGTTTTTTTTGTTTGTTTTGGGGTTTTGTGGGGGGGTTGTGAGGAAGATTGGCCCTGAGCTAACGTCTGTGCCCATCTTTCTCTATTTTATGTGGGATGCCACCACAGCATGGCTTGATGAGCGGTGCAAGGTCCACACCCAGGATCCGAACCTGTAAACCCCAGGCCTCCAAAGTGGAGACCGTGAACTTAACCACTACACCACCAGGCTGGCCCTGGAACAAAATGGGAAGTTTTTAATACCTTTTGTAAGGAAAACTGGAAGCTTTTTGTTTCAATGATCCACAAAGTTACAAAGCCCGTTTTGCTGTTCATAGTTATTTCCATATTCTTAGACTTCCAGCATATAAGGGGTGGGGGAAATTATCAGCTTTGTGTTTTATTAAAGAGCAAAGGAAATCCAAACTTCCTCCATATTTTCAGTGCTAATTTATGTTTCTTTGCATGGTATAGATTACACGATTTCCTAGTTATTTCTCAGTTGTCCCATCGCTCCCCCAATCATTCCTCCCATCTTACAAATGAAAGTGGAGCACAGGGAGAACAGGGTCCTACCAGACTCCTATAGCTCACAGTGATGGAATCTCAGTTTTAAAGGCCTGGTGTGTGCCACCACCTCTGCTGGGCACTGTCAGAAGAACACTGCAAAGTTTGTGTCATTGTGCACTTTTACAAATATGGCACCAAAGCTTACAAACAGGGCCTATGTGGCAACGTGGTGTTCTATTTATGTTACATTCCAGAAAAGGCAGAGGCCAAAATAGGGACCTAGAACAGATCAGTACGAAGGGCACCACCAGAGTGCTGCTCTGGGGTGATGAAATGCTCCCCATCTTTTGGTGGTAGTACACATTTGTGAGAACGCATAGCTACCCTTAAAATAGTACGTCTATATGTCCAGAATAACAGAAAACAACAGAGACACGTCCACATGGTAAGAGAATGTTAAACTCTCTTAAACCTTGATTTTTACATGTGCAGCACTTCTTTTCACCATCTTGGGATCCTTCTGGAGAGAACTGGAGAGGAAGGACTCCATCTCCAACAGGCCTTTCATGCAATTTCATCTCAATTTAGGGAACGCCCTCTAGGGCTGCACCTGCCCTCTGCCTGTACACATGACTGGAGAGAAGTGAGAGGACTCCCAGAATCTGTCCTTGACTTTAAATCAGATCCCTTGGTCAGATCTTTGGGAATGCTGGGGTCTGACACATAAAGGCATATCCCACAGTTCTTCTAAGAGGCACCTGCCCGGGAACAGCCTATTTCGTGGGCCCAAGCATGATGTTTTCCAGGGCCCTCTTGAGGCTATTTCTAGCTCTAAGTCTCCTCTGAAGCCTACTCTCTTCTGCTAGGTGAAAAGCATCTTTAGAAAGCCACATCTGTCCCACTCAAAAATTTCTCTGCAGTACCACCAGGTAGCTGTGAGCTGAGAGGGCAGAAGAAACAGTGGCAGGAATCATATTTGGGGACACATGCCCCTCAGCATCAGCAGTCCCCACTATCACAATTGTCAGCTCCACTTACAGATTACAGTGGTCCTCCCTTTTCCGCAAGGGATACGTTCTAAGGCTATGGATGCCCGAAACCGACAGAACTGAACCCTATCTGTACTGTTTTTTCCTATAAATACTTGAGATGCCACAACAAACTAGCACAAATTTCTTTTTCCTTCACAATTTCACAGAAGATTCGTTCTTAACCATAGATACTAGAAACCTCAGCATATGATTTTTTTCATTACTTGTAAGTTGAGAACTTTTCATATTTTCACTTGAAGCACTTCATGGCTTCTCTTTGGCATATCCAAATGGCCAGCATCACTGTTCTTGCCCTTCGGGGCCATTTTTAAGTAAAATAAGGGTTACTTGAACACAAGCACTGTGCTACCACGACAGTCAAGCTGATAACCACGATGGCTGCTAAGTGACTAGCGGGCGGGTAGCATCTATGGTGTGGATACACTGGACAAAGGGAAGATTCATGTCCCAGGTGGGATGGAGCAAGATGGTTCAAGGTTTCATCATGCTACTCGGAACAGTGCACAATTTAAAACTTGCAGATTGTTTATTTCTGGAATTTTCCATTGTTTTCAGACCACAATTGGCCTCAGGTAACTGAACCCGTGGAAAGCAAAACCATAGATAAAGGGGGACTACTGTACTAACAAAATCGACTGACTCTGGATGAGGCAACAAATAACAGGCACTCCATCAGTCTCTCCCTCCCCGCAGCCCTATACCACAGAGGCTTCATTAGCTTTCTCTTCTGTCTCCCACAGTCTCTAACCACTCATGCTGGCCACCAATTGCCCAGAACATTCCAGTGCAAGAAACTATGCTCCTTAGCCTGGTGCTGTACACAGAACAGCCACCGCTGGTCACAGACTCAGCCCTTCTGGAGATGAGGACTCACAGGCCCTGAGCTGAAGACCTGCAGCCAGCTGCCCATTCTGCCTTGATCATGGAGGCAGCGCCCTTCAGGCTCATTTCACCTCAGAGGCCTCTTCATGGAAAAGACGATAGTACTTGCAGGGCAGAGCAAAATATGGGCCTTCTGGCATATTCCACCAACAGAAGGGTTTTCCCCATCCTCAGTTTGATGCAAGATTCTGGAGAAGGTCACCCTTTTCCTAGACCCATTGGCCCCTTGGGGAGCTTTTTGGGATCACGAGTGAGCAGGAGAGTTCATGTACTTTATGGCCAGTAGGCTACAAGTGCTCCTGAGGGAGTCCACTGGAGAGCTGCTGCTTTCTATCCCTAAAAAAGCCATCCCTGTTCACAGATAGGACCCAAGCATTCACATCGTTAGTCAAACTCCAGGCAACTATTCTAGCACTAGAGGATGTCCTGGCCAACACTCAAGCTCATTTGCACATTTTTTGCAGCATTTTAGGCCATTGCTAATGGTCTAGCTGTCTGGTCCCACCAATACCAACAAAAACAACTTCTTACCCAAGGGCACACCCTTAACAATAAAGAACTCATAATATCTTGCCTCACAGTTACCCAAATATAAATCAAGGTCACACAAATCTCTGCACCTATTAAACCTCAAACTTCAGAGGCTCATTTAAAAATGCTCAAGCTGATAAATTGACTCAAGTTTCTGGCACACATATCTACACCTCAGATCTGATGCTCTAACCTTGGCCCAGTGGGCCCATAAAATATGAAACCATTGAGAGGCTTCTGCCCTGACGGTCTAGACAGAATGCCAGGAAGCTCCTTCTGCCTTGGCCAGCTGCCTAATAAATGCACGTTATTCCACACTTGAAAAGAAATGCCACTGGCAATAAAATTGATGGGCTTACTTCCCAGATTGAGGGTGGGGTCCCTATAGCTGATGGCAAATAGGCTTTATGGGATCCTCCATCCCCTCTTCAGGGGCTACTCACTGTGCCAAGATCATCATAAATACTTGTACAAGTGTATATATTACTCGCCTATGCCACCAGGCATGCAATTTCAGAAGCCAAAATGCAAGAACTCACCAAGATACTACTTCTCGCCTTCAATGTCCTGGCATTTTTGTTGTGGTCAATTCATTTCTTAAAGTATGCAACAGTGGGCTCTTAAAAAATGGCGTACAGTGGAACTTTTACCTCTTACGACCCCAAGTTAAAGCCTTCATAGAATGCCAGAATGGCCTACTTATCCCAACCATGCTAACGTTACAAAATTGGTGCATGGTCTTCCATATTGTTCTTGCTCCTGTTAGAGGCATTAGACTCAACTCGCAGCCTTTAGTGCACATTACTTTGTTGTGATCATCAGGCTTACTGGCACCTTCGTAGTAGAGGCCTTCCTATCTCTGACGTTGTCAAGATGGTCACTCCCATGGGCTTTTGG